TTTTTTTTTGTCCCCAATTAGTTGTGAAAACTAAATACATTGACACATTAATAAAGCTTTTTACTTTTCCTTTTTTTTTAAACAATTTTCGAGGATCTGAGTTGATTCGTGTTCCCAGCTTTTCTTATTTTCATTAACTTCCAAAATGGGCTGGGCGAAAATGTAATCCTTTTAGACGTTCATCTATTTCACGTAAATACAAAAATAATAATGATATTTATACATTTCACCTAAATAGTCTAGTATTTAGATAATACGTTGGTGTGCTGTGATAAAACTTTTACAGTTTAATTTGTTGATATCTTTTACAATATTTTAGACAGTTTTGGTCTGTATTTTGCCAACAAAGTAATATCCTTTTGGGAAGAATTTACGGCTGTTTTCCTTAGGTAAACATGCTGGGCTTCACCACTCGTGTTGCCTACAGGTACGTCGAGGAACGATAATTATATAGAGAGAAAAATAGATATACAAAAAAAAAATCGCTGAAATCACTTTGAAACGGCCTCAAAACGTCACGAAAACACCGGAAGCACACAAAAGTGTCGACGTAAATAGTTCTAATTGAATGTCTTCACCATATTCTGAATAAGCGATCGTTACAGTCCTATACAAACTCTTCTATTTACGCTGCGTTGCGCAACTGAGTCCAATACATTAAAATGTTCACGGCTCCCAAGGAGCTTGTCCCATTTAGTGAAAGACCGGAATCACTTTCATTTTGCTTTCTGTTAATGTAGTTTATTATTTTTGTTTAATACCACAGCTCCCAGCGAGTCTCCTAAAAACCTCAGTGTCCAACACACCGGCAGCTCAGAATTAACATTCCGACTGGAGCCAGTAGATAAATATCATATCAACGGGCGACTCCGAGGGTATAAAGGAAATTATCGAGAAAGCCTATCTCCAAATGAGCCTTGGAAGACCTTCGTTATCAATGTAACTCAAACCAAGCGCAGGAAAAGAAGCATTGAGGACGAACAAGTTACCTTTAACCTGGAGGGTTTAAAGGCGTACACCTCGTATACAGTCACTGTGTTGGCATTTACTGTGAAAGATGGCGTTCCCACATTGGCGGCAAACTTCACCACCGCAGCGGACGGTATGACACACCATTTCATAGACTAGCAGATATACATGCAACTTAGAATGAAACTATGTTCACTGTACTAAAGAAATCTTTAGTGTTTTGTAGATTACTTCTCAAACTCGTTAATAACTCATCAAGTTAAAAACAAGAAATCATGACCATGACGGGTTTGGATATCTGATCTTAACTAACTTAGATTTTGATGATTTTGATTCTCCATTTTCTCCTTAATTTAAGTTTCGATTGAGAAGATACATTAAATACTCAAGACAATGTTTGACCACATTTCCAAACACCTCGGTGTACCTCAAAAATACTCCGCTACGCGTCTCATTTTGAACTCTCTTCTCGGTGTTTGAAAATGTGTTCAACTACGGTCTTTCGTGTTTGATATATTACTTCAATTCATACATGATTTGCATATTCGTCTCTCTCTTATCTACGGCCATTATTTTTTTCCCTCGGCATCTTCAGTACCAGATCATCCTCCGTCAAACGTAACCGCGTGCAACACTAGCTCCACAAGTGTTAATGTCACGTGGCAGCCTATCCCTTTAGACCACAGGAATGGAATTCTCCTAGGATATCACGTAAGATATTGGAGACACGATAAAGCAAACGATACTATCTCCGTGGTAACGGTAAACAGCACCAGCCTCCATGCAGAAGTGGAGGGATTAGGGAAGTATAAGGAATACATCATCCAAGTAGCCGGATCGACAGTAGCTGGTTTGGGGAATTTTTCTGAACCTGTGTTTGTTCGTACTGAGCAAGATGGTGAGTAATTATAATGTGTATTATATTGTAGTCTCACCTGTGGTTGAATGAAAAGTCGTCGATGTACTTAGCTACAACTAGCTAGTTCTCAGGCATGCTAACTAAACTGAAAGAAAGAAACATTTCAAATTAACATAATAGGCTTAAACATGCTAACTGGCGTGAGGCAGACTAGTTCGCTATTTGTTAGCATGACCGAGGAGTTGAACTAGGGTCTACCGAGAGACCACTCAACTTAGTGGTCAGAGCGGGACCTGAACTCGTGGCCTCTGCATTTCAAGTCCGGTGCCTTTGCAACTCGGCCACGCTGCATCCTATCGTAGCCTTTTGGAAACAAGGAGAGTAGAGCAAGTGTTTTCGTGGCAAATTCTCGACACGTTTAAAGCGTATATAACAGGTATGTTTTCATTTGCTTGATAGAATCTACGCGAGATCATGATTTGGAAGCCGAAATAAAAATTGCATATCGTTTTTTTTTTCTTCGCCGCGTTTTAGCCATCTGAAGACGTGAAATTTCTCTTCCGGCTGGGTCTGAAACAGGGCNGGGGGGGGGGTCAGGAAGTAAATTTTGGCGTTTTCGAATGGCTAAATCGCGGTGAAAAAAACAACGAAATCCATTTTTTTTTCTATTTCCATATCAAGAGCTCGTGTGAATTCCATAAGGAGAACTAAAAAATATATATCTGTCATACGCACTTAAATTTACAAAGTAAGTTGTTCGAGCGCTAGTGAACAGTATTAATTGTTTCCTTAGATATAGTGTCGTGATGTAGTATTGTAATGCATCTCCTTTAAAATAGAGATTTGAAAAGGGGGTTTCGTTTTCGAAATAATTTTGTTCTTTCCTCGACCTTAGTACCCGATGAACCACCAGGTAACATCAGAGTTCACGGAATTGAACCCACAGTTTTAAAAGTTGACTGGCTTCCAGTGCCTTACGAAACTATAAACGGCATTGGAATAGGCTACAAGCTCGCTCTATTCAATACCAGTGCGTATAACATTAGAAATTACACCTTGGAGGCTTCTGTTCTTTCACTGAAAATTACCGATTTGGATATCTGGACAAACTACAGCATCAAGATGTCCGCTTTCACTGTTGTTGGAGACGGTCCATGGAGTGAGTCAGTACTTGAAGATACAGACGAAGAAGGTAAGCCACGGGCATCCCATCTTTAAAATTTGACTCTACAGCAAATGCCCATGAAATCTTGGATGTCACCTAAAATTATCAGATCATCCATGGCCAGAAGTCTTTATCCAAAACTACCTCGTTTTAAAAGAGAGGTACAAGGTAACTCGGAAATGGCCTATTGGTGTGCGGTGCGTTTCATTGATTCTGGTGTTTTATTCACAGCTCCTTATGAAAGTCCAGCAAATCTGACCGGACAAAGCACAAACTCGACCTCAATCTTCGTTCAGTGGAATGCAGTTATTTTACCCAATATTCGCGGGATTCTTCGAGGTTACAGGGTTTACTATGAAGAGGCTCCGGGCTCCGTCCATGCAAGCGTGTTAAGAAACGTGTCTGTCGATATATCTGTGACTGAAGCTGAGCTCATCAACTTGCGCAAATTTACCGAGTACCATATTTGGGTAACAACGTTCACTACCAGAGAGGGAGAGTTGAGCAATTCCATATTCGTGCGGACACGAGAGGACAGTAAGTGCGGTCTTTCCGGCTTCTTTGTCGCCCTTTTTACAAATAAAATATAACAGAGAATTGTTACTATCTACCTTTTCTATAAATGTACTCGACTCCTAGTAACTCAAACCCTTGCTAACTCGAACTCTTGCTAACTCAAACCAAATCAATATTTCACCTGGATTTCCATCATACATGTACTGTAATTTTACCCTCGGTAACTCGAACCCTCAATAACTCGAACCTCTCGATAACTCGACGCAATTTTCGTTTCCCTTCAGATTACATTCCATATAATTTTACCCTCGATAACTCCACTGTGTTTGTCAATACGTGACAACACAAAACAAAACAACACATTGAAAGTATTTCTCAAAAAAGTAAATCGCATGAACTCTGAAGCAGTAGCCCTATCGTTTTTCTCCTTGAATTCTGCAAAAACCTGCTTTGCCTTGCTTCCTTTTGTTTCCCATAACGTTTATACGTTCTGATATATACAGTAAACACCATTTATTTTCCTTATTCCCGTCATTTGCTCTCAACTCCCGATAACTCGGAGTTGACTGTACCAATGCTGAAATTCCTTGTGAATGTAGGTAATTAACTTGATCTTATTTATAATAGCTCCAGGACGCCCACCATTGTACATCACATACTCTTCGCCAAGTTCCACTAGTCTTTTAGTTGAATGGGGTGCAATCCCTCCGCAGTTCAAAAATGGAATCATAAGAGGATTTCAAGTTCACTTCCAACACAATGGCACGAAGGAAGTTAGAGTGCGAGGACCACTCCTCTACTGGGTCATTCTTGATGGTTTAAAGAAGTTTACAGTCTATCATATTCGAGTTTTTGCCTTCACAAATGAGGGATATGGACCAGAAAACAACATAACGGCGGTCACGGCCCAAGATGGTATGGAACTTACCTACAATATTTGTTTTCTAGAGAAAACAAAATTCCTGATGGCGGCAAAAGAGTAGGAACAATAATTATTTAAATCCTTGATAATATAAGTCCTTGAAGAAGTCTCGATTGCATTCCGATATAATGAAAGATGATTTAGTTGAACTTCTCTAAGTTTAAGCCGAGTTTCAGCCCCTTTTAACCCCATTTCGAACGGCATCCCATGAACACGTTCACACCAAACTAACCTACGTCATTCTCGAAACAGGACAAGTTTCAAAAATTTGCTCCTTCGTGATCGAATATAAAGGAAAGGTTTACCAATGCCTCACTGATGAAATGGCTAGTTCTGCAAGTTTTTTTCGCGTACTTCAAAAGAACTAATATTCTTTTCGTTATCGAGAAATGGATATTTTTGAAGAAAGTTTGACCTTTATTGTATTGCTAGAACAAGACAAAACTGTTTTCTTTTCTCAAGTTCCCAGCAGGCCACCAGAGAGCATCATCGCTGAAAGCCACGTAACCCTGACAACCATTCCTGTTACGTGGCAACCAATCGATTCCAGCTATATCCATGGCATTTTACTTGGCTACAAGATCAGGTACCAGGCCGTTGCGATTGGAGAGGAGCCAGTTGAAGATCAGCCAATCAGAGAGGAGATAGTCAGCCCCTCGACCTTCTTTCTTGTGTTGAAAAATCTCGAAATATTTACTTTGTATCGCATTGATGTGATGGGATATACGATCATGGGCAATGGTCCACCGGCTACGGATTATGCAGGTTTGTCTAATTTTCAAGCCAATCATACAATGTCTCGGCGCATAGAATATATGTTTTTAGTATAAATCTACTAGTGTTCTATCTCTGATTGGCTACGCTACTCACTATCTATTCTGTGATAGATAGTGAGTAACGTGACAGTGTGCCTTTGCTAACAAAATGACGACCGCTTCTTGCCGTTTTCGAAGTGTCTGTGAAGAGGATTTAGATAAAGTTTTGAGCGACTAGTGGATTTATACTGAAACAATTAGATTGTTCGCTCTCGATTCCTATGCGTGATAGCTGACTCGGGCTCCGCCCTCGTCAGCTATCACGCGTTAGAAATCGAGAGCTCATAATCTAATTGTTTAATAGACGGATTGGGCAAACGTGTTTACATCATTTTCCCTCCCAATTCAGCTCATGACATGACTCACTTGGGAGGTTACAATTGTTCTGTTTGTATATACTCCCATACAATCAGTTTCGTTTGGCAAATGTCACAACTGTAACCTCCCAAATGAATCATCACATGGTCTGAACTGGATGGCAACAAGGATGTAAACACGTAGCCGAATCCGTCTATTCTTTATCTTACTCCGTCCCTCTATTTTACCGCTGATTCAAGGCGTATGTAATAAGGAGAGACGTAGAAATTAACTTCAGATGAAGGAAAGTTTAAAACCATAGTTACTCAGGGAGTACAACTATCACAGCTGTTTAGTATAGTAAAAAGGGTAGCTTAAGATTGGGGAAGATTAAAATGGATTGCGCACATCGAAATGATTTGTTTTTTAAGATGCGCCATTCGCAACGTGGCTCTTTTCAAGGAGAAAAGAGCCATCCGCAAACAGTTGCTGCTATTAATTGACTTTAATGTACTACAATCTTACTTTCAAAAATTAAACAAAGGATTAAAACTGTGCCAATTGTTGTTGCTGTTGTTTTTTTTAAGTCAACTTCATTTCAAAACTTCAGCTGTTTATGATACTTCTCTCTACCTGCCAAAAAACCCCTATTCTGTTATTTACAGAGACCTGTCGCTGCTACGAACGTCTAACAACGAGTTGGTATGAGTTTCGACCATACGTCCGATTGTCTGAAAATGGCTTCCCTGACGGGCTTATTCCACCAATCCTCAAGAAGCTAACCTTCAGGTGTTGTGAAACCTGCCAGTCGCATGGTACTTCTTATGTGGACTTGAATTCAAATGGCTTCAATCAGTCGGCAAAGCTTTCCAATCTGCGTTCACTGCAGAAGAGTATCGTTAATCCAACAGACTTCTTCTTCCCCGTCTATGGCTTTAAGGAGCAAACTCATTTTGCTAAGCAGTTTGGCTACCAAGGAATAGTGGAATCACCTGGTATGGCGTACATTATCAATACAAACTCCCATGATGACATGCCCAACGCTATCTTGACGAATATTGCTGCCTGTTGGCCAGCGATCGCCCTCGCTTTGGTCATCACGTATCTAGCTGGACTTGTGGTGTGGTTAGTGGTAAGTTAGGCAGAATGTAATCAATAAATAAGGAACACAGACTTCACATGCTAGGCGTGTGAGTTAGGATGTTCAATTCGAACCCGAACATTGTACTTGGGTTGGGTACTTTAGATTAGGAATTATCCTCACATTATCCCAGCGGACTTTTTGTTACATACAGAAGATTAATCTTTCCATGTCCAAAAGAGAAATTCCACATCGAAAGATCGCTGGACGGCTGCGGTGCAGGCGACCAAAAGCTTCCTCCAGCTGCTTTGAACTCGGGTAAGCACAGCAATTTAGATTGGAAGCAGAATCTTTTTTTATATCTCCATGGAATGTTAGAAAAGACTGAGAATCCGGTTTGTGCTGTCGTCCTGGTTTTTCTTACCTTGAGGTGAAACCTTAATGGAGCATATTCCTTAACAGGTACATGACCAAAACCTTAAACTCTGGCAATTGGGAAATTGATATCGGATTGTGGATGGTTTCACTCGAAATCCGATTCACACGCTTGATGCTTCACAAGATCCTTTAGCAAGATCTTGCCAGGGAATTGATCAATTGCCCATGTTTATCGTGATTATCTATTATTCACACTCATATGGAAGCACAGTCGCAGTCTAAAAAACAAGGAAATATTTACTCCTGTGACGATACGTAAAAAGTACAATTTTACACTCGATTTTCTCATTTTTATCCATACAGGAGTCGGATTGCAACCCACAAGACTTTCCACCATCTTTCATCGAGGGAGCATACGAGGCTTTTTATTGGTCCTTTGTTTCCATGACAACAGTCGGGTAAGTGCAAACCAATCATTGGTATGAGTTTTAGGTTATATTTTAACCAATGTTCTGAAAATAAAGGAAGGAAGGAGGTGCTACAAAAAGGAAGTGCTAAACCTTTGAATACAGAAAGAACCAAAGGGATGAAAACTTCATTCGTGGAAATATACTTTAGTTTAAAGTTCAACTAATGCCCTGATAAAAAAATAAAACAAAACAAAACAAAAGGAAACAAACAAATAAACACAAATATAAACCTTCCCATTTTATTGGTGATGAAAATTCATATAAAATACAAGCTGGGGACTGATCACTTTTGGAAATTAAACATATAAAACCTCTTGTATTATCTCCTAACACATAAGTCGATAGACGTCCGAAACAGTTTTCAAGTTATCTTCTCATTAGATACGGCGATCGTGCACCGATAACCATATTAGGAAGATTTCTCGCTATTGCCGTGATTTTGTCTGGGCTGGTGATCTTTGGAATTGTCAACGGTTACATGGCCACATCCATTACTAGCGTCTCCCTGGAAACAGACTACAAAATCTATGGAGCCAAGGTAGGTCAATACAGTAACGGGAGAGGTCCGAATTCTGTTTAGAAGAATTGACTGTGTCCGCTATTTGATCAGAACTATTGCTAAGAAGCATGAATTGTGGTATTAACTCCAGGTTCGGAGTACTCTCTGTGCTTATACTTTATTTGATTAAAAAACTAACCGTGTTCCTCAACAAAGATTTGTCCTAAGCGAAATTGGGTAAACTACAGAACGTTTTTGGCTCATATAGCTTCATATCACAAAAGGCGCATACGAGAGTCATTTGAATAGAATACTACTACGACATTCTGTCTTCATCACCTGATTTTGTTAATGTGTACAATAGATATTCTCTGCCTGTTGAATCAAAGAATTCGCTAGTCAATGGCTGAGAAATGTATTATCTACAGTAATATGAGCTCAATTTTGTCAAGATTGAATATCGTAATTCAGCATTCGATTCTTTGGGTTGGGCGCAGCCTTTTGATTCATAAATTTTTTTTCAATGAAATTTTTGCATAACACGGAATGCATGACAGCCTCACCTATGTTACAGTACAAGCAGAAAAACGTGAAAGGAAACAACTCTTGATCAGTTGCTTTATTCAACCTAATTGGGAATGCGGTGGAAATTTTGATTTTTATAGCTGGTAAAAAGCTGGACACGTTTTATCATTCTGTTTTCTCTAACCTTTTTGTAGGTTGCGGCAATTGAGGGGACGCCTGAATATCGAATGGGATTGAGGAAAAATGCTCGAATGGACCAAGGTAGATCGCATATCGTGTTGCCTGGCTGTTGTTATTATCAATCCGAGTTCCTCGACTGTCAGGTTTTTTAACAAAACAACCTCAAGTTGCTAAATTCCAATTTATGTAAACTGCAAATTCAGAATTCAACTCTTTAATTCCCAAGACACACACCTTGAATGTCTTGAAGAACCGTCGGCCTCGAAAGAGGTAGCCCTAGCAAATCTTCATTTTGTTATTAACGTAGTCAGCAAACTATGCAGTACTGCAGCAATGGTATATACTCAGTAAATATATATAGTTTGATTGAGACACCCAGAAGCAACATTTTACAGCCTGAAAACAACCAATGAAAGGACGCTGTATGGATCTTTCTTTCTTTTTCTTGCCTAAAATCTCAGATGTTACATATCGCTCGCAGGAAACTGACGTTCGCGGGCGACTCATGTTTAAGTCTAAGATGGGTAAATAAATAACTTGAATGTAATTGTCGTAATTCTTCGATCGTTTACTTTCTAAGGTCGCGAGTATCACACGTTCCACGATATTTACACGGCTCTCAGCGAACGACACGTCATCGGGGCCTTGATAGATACATACAGTGCTGGGAGCAGCAAAGAAGAGTTTGAAAACGAGAATCTGCGAGTGAATAAAATCCTCGATTTCTCTTCTACTTATGGAGTAGTCATGGGCAAAGAGGGTAGAAAACTCCGGCGGTGCTTCAAAGAATATACTGAAAAAGGCTTCGCTATTGAGATTGCGCATCACATTCAGCGCAACACGAAACAGCTAAAGGTAAAAACAGTTCAATCATGTGGTTTCTTAAAGTCACATAGGTCGGATTTTTTTAACTGACTGCCTGACTGACTGACTGACTGATTATTCATTGACTGATTAATTAATTCAGCGATTCAATGATTCAATGATTCAATGATTCATTGGCTCATTAGCCCATTGCCTGATTGGCTCATTGACCCATTGGCTTTGTCCCCACCATTGCTTTTTCATTTATCGCCCACAATGATAAGTTTGAAGACTGGTACAATTAAAAAGCTGTCTATAATGGAAAAATTTGAAAAAAGAGCCGTATCCATGAGGACAGCACATCACCGAAAACGTGTTGATGAAAAAAACAGGTCCAAATATTGGTTCGTCGGTCGGTCGGCTGACCATTTGCCTAATCAAACAACAGAAAAATAATCACTTACTTTGATATTTCATTGCAGGAGCCCCCTGAACCGCTGCCAGTAGAAAGGTCAACGGGATTCTTTGACAGTCACAGTACTGCATTTCAGAACACCTTGCTGATCAGCGGGGCGCTGTTAATATCCTGCATACTGTGTGGCATTATCTGGGATATGATAAGACACATACGAGAAAGGACCAAGATTAAACCACACGGTAGGTTTCGTTTTATCATCTCGGTTAACTATAATATGTTGCGTTGATACAAAGGCACTAGTCCAAACACACGCCTTTAACATACCTACAATGCTGGTCAAAACATCATGGGACAGTTATGACAATCAAGAGAGAAAATACACTTCGTTAAATAAACTCTGAATGCACCTCTTATAAAAAGGTTGGCAATGTTGTTTTAGTAAGCCGTTTCTTTTGTCCCCCCTCCCACAAGCAAAGTTGAGTCTGACGAAAATCACTTAAATGTCTGACATCAACATTGCATCACGGGGGAGGGAGAGGGGAAAAATGCGTCATTGTTACGGGTTATTGCCTTTATGTCCCAAGAGTTCTGGCCAGGGTTGTAGAGAAAAGTTTCAAAACGTGTCAGCTTGTATAATTCAATATTTGTCGATTCCATTCATGTCATTGATTATGGGCTTCGAATCAATCCAGCATTGATTAGTTCATAAGTTGTAAGAGGCCGGCACTAATTAATAACGTGCATTTGAAACCTTTTTAATAGAACTGTTGACTCACGTTGTATGAGAGGTGAAAGTTAAACTGTTGCCTTTACATTTCAATATCACTGTTGAAAGAAAAAATAGTTCTGAACATAGTGTCGAAACAGATTTATCTTTGAAGCGTTTAACCGAACTCTAACAGCAATAAAAGAAATCACGTCATAACCCGTTGTATTCTTAGATTCAAGACTGGAGCTCGTGGTCGAGTTGAAAGTGCTGGTCGACAATTTCAACGACAACATTCATACAGTTAAGAAGAACATGGCATCACGACATGAAAAAGAAAGAAAGAAATTGCTGATGAACTACAAGCAGCTACACGCGAAATATGATTCGTCAATGATACTAACACAGCAACTAGACAACCCTTATTTTGATCCACAACCTGATGAACTGAGCTCTGCTCGCGGTGAATCTGAGGCCAACTGTTGATGATAAATTTAACCCTTTAGACTGCTCAATTTTATAATTAGATTACGGCAGATTCTACCGGACTGGCGGTAAAAAAAGGGTTAAAAACAATTCTTCCAAGACAATCAATGAAAGATGTTTAAACAAAACAGCAAATAAAATCTTTTAAGAATCCCAGTGTAGTACCTCAAGTTAATAATAAAGCCCTAACTTAACACAACATATCGCGACTTTGTTGGGCGCAACACGTTGCGCGCGTTTGGCCACCCTGTTGCGAAGTGTTGCCACATGCTGTGTTGTTGGCTCAAGTTTGAAAATGGTCACATTCAAGCCAGTAACACCCCATTGTCACACCACGTCGCAACAGGGTGGCCAAACGCGCGCAACATGTAGTATGTTGCTCCCAACAATGTTGCGATATGTTGCGTTGAAATGTTGCGATCGTTTGTTCGGGGCTTTACACTACTGTCGATTCTAATGGCTCAAAGGAGCCAAGTCACGGTATTTTGAGTTATTTTGGCCACGTACAAAATTACCTTTAAATTGAAGGAAACCTGAAATAGAAGTTTACTTAGATAGAAAAACACCAAAGAGATAATAATAAACCGTAAAGGAACAAGGATGGTTAAGGATAGACAAGATTGACACGGATTACAAACGACGAACTTGAAAAATTTAGGCTAAACGTTTTAAAAGTGCAGACCGTGACGTAGCTCCTTTAAGCGCCAGTGAAAACTCGCCTTAAAATATTTATTTTCTTCTGACGCGAAATGTAAGAGAAATAGTTGCAAATGAATATAATAACATCGACGCAAAATGTAATAAGTGTTCAACGCGAAAGTAATACCTTTTCAACACACATTTAAATGTAATAACTTTTCTAACGCATAATGATGTAATAAAGCAAAATGTGAAAGCTCTCAAACGACATTATGTTCGAAATCAGTATTATAATAACTCAGTCGCGTTTATCTAATTTCATGAATAATCCTATGCAGGTTAATTATAGAAATACATGGGAATTACATATACAACTCAACTTGATTGTTTGCCACATCAAAGGGGAGAGGAGCCGGGACAAAGCCTTTCCCCCCTCCCCAAACCTCTGATGCAGCCCGTAGGTGGAAAGGGGTGGGTAAAAAGAGCGATTTCAATACAGGCGAGGGTGGATTAAAGAAATTAAAGAAACACATGGGAATAACATATACAACTCAACTTTATTGTTTGCCGCATCAAAGGGGAGAGGAGCCGAGACAAAACCTTTCCCCCTTCCCAAACCTCTGATGCAGCCCGTGGGTGGGAAGGGGTGGGTAAAAAGAGCGACTTCAATACAGGCAAAGGGTGGACTGAAAACTGATATGGCGCATTAGTGTCTTAAGCACAGTTATTGATTGACCATTTGGAGCTCCGTATTATAATGCCATAGGATAGAATCCAATACCTTACATAATCCTAAATAATTAAAGAAACGCATAGGAATAACATGTACAACTCAACGATGATATCCTCGCGAGACAACGTTATTGAATGGTCGAAATCTTTGACAGATTTACGACAAGGAGTGAGACCCAATTAGCATCGCGGCCCAGAATTCCGAGTCCTCATCAGTCATGGGCTCAGAACGAATGCACGAAAGGATCTCCAGAGTAATGGGTAAGCGAACGATTGGCTTAACTGCAAAATCGTCCTGAAAGGTGCCATTGTGGTTGACGTGTCGATGAAGTACATTAATGGCTGGCAGATAATTGATTATTGTGTAGTATTTACAGAGGGTGGACAAATGGATGAGGAGTTAAATGACAGTTTTGTCTGAAGCTGCGATGGGAACCAAACCAAACTCTGAACAGGAGTGTACATAAATTCTTTGTAAATGTGGTAAAGAACTGCACGTGTTCTGTGTCTCGGATATTTTTATAATTGTATCTAAACCTGAGGATGAAAAAGAAGAAATATACTCATATATATCTATGTTAAATTAAGAACAAAATTATCTCTAAACAACATCACACTGGTTATGCTTTTGCCTTAATATGGCGAATAATTGGTTGGAGAAGAACAAGTCAAAACTGATAAAAATCCAGTGATCAACGAATCAAACCTAAGAATATCCAATGGTAAACTAATCAAAACAGATATAATACAATGACAATCAACCAAAACAGAGAAAATCGATCCGTTACCTATCAAAAGCAACAAAATCCAGGACGTAGAGCACTACCAAACAAATAAAAACTGATAAAATCTAATGACCAACGTATAAAAACTGGAAAGGTGCAAGAATCAAACAGAGAATATCCAACGAATCTGAAAAGAAAACAAAAAACATCCTACGACCAAAAAGAACATCAAATGACAAACAACTGAAACACAAAGAATTCAATGACGAACAAATCCAAACAGGGAACGTCCAGTGACGACCAATCAAGACAACAAGAATATCCAATGACGAATTAATCAAAACAACAAACATCCGTAAACAGGAAACACCTTATGACGAACGAAACAAAACACGGGACACACCCAGTCACGAGCGAAATAATCCAAAAATATCCAATGTTAAACGAATAGCCCTTTCACGGTTATCCAACATAGAAGCGAGGAAATTTCGAGTAAAATTATGCAAAATTGCCCAACATTCATGTTTGATCATATTGTGATGTTACCGGCGAAAAAGGGTTATTAACACAGAAAATTCATACTGACCGAATGAAAATAGACAATTGAGCGAAACATGCATGCATTGACGAAAACAGATGAAAACCAAGCTCGCGGCATCTTCGAAAGGAAAGACGGTTTGATGTCAATGAAATAGAGAGAGATGAAAATAGCGACTCTCTGTATAAACAAATTATATACCATGTTGGGTTAAGGAAGAGAGAGAGCTCAAAAGAAATGACATAGTTGGGAAACTCTTTATTGCAATTTTCAATTGGCAATTGAAAGAGAGTAAATGAGAGTTGTTAAAAGGCGCAGGTTAAATGATAGCGACAAAGCGGCTTTAAAATAAAAATGTGGACATAGCTAGCTAATTAAAAGGCACTCCTCGTCTTTATAAATGACGTAAGTTGAATCACGTGATTGGAAGAGGTAACATCTAAAAAGCCATGTTGAAACAGGTCGGTAGGGTACAGCCTCCTAAGGTGCTCTATTTCCCAGTCAAGATAGTGGCAGGCAGCCATTCCTCATCAAATCTAGTACGGAAGGCAATCTTTTTTGTTTCCAAGAGGAAATGATGACAGGAAAACGATATGTCTCCTTTTTCCTGCTCTTGATTGCGATCTTAATCCTCGTTGAGGAAAGCCAAGAGGTTACAGGAATATTGGTTCCTCGGGCTCCAAGACCTCCGGCAAATCGCGCACCGAGAAGACGAAAGCACTGTGTTCGTCGCTGTCGGCGACGCAGACCACTAAAGAGTCGCTCTTTTCTACGGTTGATGAGGTAAATTTCATGCCGTTATAATACCTATGTATTTCAGGGTATTTCTGAAAAATTTGCTGCATGCATTCCAGTGAAAGTCAGTTCATACACTTTGAATGTAGACACATTTTAACTTGTAATGAAGCAAACGGTGTTCGCTCTTTAATAAACCGAGATTGAAGACGTGAACACACCTCTCGTTCGGTCATTCCCATTAAATCGGGCAATCGATCACGCTAACAAGCAGTTTTAAGGCAAAGCTCTTACATAATATCTTTCTCGGGAGCACTGTTATTTAAGGTTACCATAACCCCTTACGAGGTGTTTCGCGTCCAAGCGATGTAGCGCGTCCGGTTTAAACTGTAGATACCTAAATTTCTATATCAAATTAAAGGCTTTTCGTTGATTCAATTTGCTTCTCAGTTTCCGGACCCAGCCAAAGCGTTAAAAAAGGTGTCTGCGTTTTGCCAAATTCAGTTGCGGTGAAAATATTTCGGATTAAAAAATGTGGAGAGATCGTTTAAAAATTGCTTTCGAAGAAAACATATTTCAAAAGTAAAAAAGAAATTGCAGACAATGTTTTGTTGCTCATAAGTTTAACTACGTACATTCAAAATCTGAGGGCAAACGAACAAATTCCCTTTGACTAGTAGCTATGAAAAGGTGACTCGGACGCTCGCATTTAGAGGTCGTGAAAAATTCGACAAGTCATTTAAACTGGACGCGCTGCATAGCTTGGACGCGAGACACCTCTAAATGCATACGATCAACCTAAAAAAAATAGTGCAGTTGAAGATGCTACTGGTCATTTCTGGCTCTTTTTGCTAGATAAAATGAATTTTGGAAAGACGTATTCACGTGGAGTGGTTCTGACCACGTTTTAAGGACTCCAAACCCAATCCAGATTTAATTATCATTCGTAACATGGCATACTGGCATTTGTCTTTGAGTAAATATCTCAAATGGAGACAGTCCACGAGGGCAAGTTAAACAAAGCAAACAAAAGCAACTCCTGAATAGTTCCTCGCTCTTAAGGTTGAAAAATAGCTTGTGAGTGCAGTCCGTTCGCTACGTTTACTGTGGGAAAGTTTACTGTCGGAAAGAGACGGCGAGAGACGGCGAGAGTCGGCTGCTTCTGCTTGCCGTTCAGGTTCCATCTCGTTCTACAGTTCAGCGGCTACCACTACTACTGTTGGCCCCACTGCACGTAGACAAATACAACATTGCCATTGATCCAGTTTTAATGTTTACATGGAATTACAGGTAGCTTACTTAACAGGTAATATGAAATTTCGGCGAGAAAACCACGTTTATTAATCATGTGCATTTTTTTTAACAGAGGTTTTCAGAAGATCCGGGATTTCTATGGAGACATATAGTCAGCAGTCGTTGGCAAGAAACACTCTCTACAAAGCTATATTGTGTTTTCTTTAACGCGACCTCGATTCAAATGCAAAGCGAGAACGTCACAGATTTTAAGTTTTATTAATGTAAATGAATACGTATATGATTATCATTATCACTGTGTATGTTTCTCTTTTTCTTAACGTTTTAGCTAGATACATGAACTCACAAGGAAATTTGTTGCTTTAAACCAAATCGTGTTTAAATAAAAGATTTTTGTTGTTGTTGTTGCTGTCGTTCAAAAACTGCTAATTTGAATCAAATATATGTTATAATTCTGTTTCTTCATGTTTTTGCAAGAAGCCTTTTTTTGTATTCCAATACAAAAGTTTGATTCTCAAACAACAACAAAAAATATTTGCTGGCATGCTTTACACGAAAATAAACACTGTGGCCGCAGTATGTGCCCAACATTTACGGCAGCGAAACAAACCGACAAGAGTTGATCGCTAGACATTTTGCCTCGGCAATTGCTAGTGAGGACAACATGAGTGTGTCCACCTTGTTATACTTGTGCCTGCTTGCTGTGATGGTCGTGTCGTCAGTGTTCTTGCTAGTCCTATGCTTACCGGTATGGTGAAGTTGCTAGTGACACCAGGGGAACTTTCCATTCGATGAAAATTTTTGTTTGAATTTTGGAGATTTCCAGCGACGAATGGAACAGCATTTTCCGGAATTTCCGGGGGTATAGCCAAATTTTCAGAAATCCCCTACCGGAAATCT